AAGACGATTTGCCTCTGATCGTCGGTCATTCTCGATTGAATCCCTTGTTAACCACATATCTATAATAATTCTGAGCATCGTGAATATCCATTACTTCGCCAATGTCAATGCAGCCATCACTGATATCCAGTGTATGGCTCATACAGGTCAGTCATTCGATGCATTTCATTTCCACACTTTCGTTTCATCGGTACCCCTTCAGAATACATTCAAAAAGCTACGGTCTTGAAGACCGAAACACGCTTCACCGAAGAACTCACAAGCTAGGGTTATGATGGTGGTTATGATTACTTTATGTTGAATATAGTGGCCAGGATATGTGTATCGCCCTTCTTCGAGTATTATAATACCACAAAGCTATCTCAGAAAACCGCTTTCGAGTTCCAGTCGAAGCGACAATTGAAAAAAAGTTCTATCATTCCTAGGCACTCTTGACAGAACTCAACCTTGAGTTGTCGCAGAGTTTCATTAGGATAGCGAACGATCAATGCGCTCTTTTTTTCGCTACGCTGCAGTCAAGGGCGCTGTCAGTGTGTGCAAATTGCGACTGCCATTCTGTCGCGCTGCAGTAGGAATATGTTATTCTTCCACGTACAGAAACTATATTTCAACGTCCCTCGAAAATGACAAACGTTCAGAGAGGTCGCAATTGGAATTTCGCTCCCAGAAGGAAAATGATGCTCAAAAAAAAAAAAAAGATGGGAGATGCAGCCTCTCCCACTCCGCTTTTATTCTAGAATGTGATCCATTACTCGGAGAATCCATACCATTTCTAAATTATTTTCACTCCAGTTCAGAATAGAAAATGACATCTTATTGTAAGAACAAACGACACACATATTTCCTTATTTACAAAACTTCTAAAATGAGAAATAATCAGTCATTTGTTCGGATATCGCGTATAGTAAATGGCAACGTCTGAGAGATTGACTAGCATCCCATCATTTGTTGAGTTTCACTAGTCAGCATTTATTCATCTCTGCAAAGAATATTTGAAAACATTTCTAGAGAGTTGGTTGATGTTGTGCCATTTCTAGAGAGTTGGTTGATGTTGTGCCCTAAAATGTTACACCCCACTGTGTTGGGGTTGTCCAAAACCCATCATTTCAGATCGTTTCTCTGCATTCACTATGCGAACTTTCCTTAATTCCTCGACTTATGCCCGAAGTAGGGAGCCTTCCGCTAATCATTTTTTCTTCGGTTATGTTTTTCTATTTGTGCCCAATCCAGTGCTTCACTGAATTTTCCAAATTCACCCTCTCTTTTGTGTCTCGAATCGTCAATGCCATGAGGTAAAACTGCGAATAAATTCATTGGACTAAGTAACTGCTTCATCAGACTAGTACAATGCGAACTATAAAACTCTAGATTAAGGGAGCTGCTCCTCTACTAATCTTATTTTTACATCGCGATTGGACCACCAAAGGGCTGGTGTGCGCGCTATTGTAACCAAAGATAAATGTGGTGGTCTTCGTAACCATTCGCACAGTTCTTCATATAGGTCGATGAACGAGAGATTTACGAGGATTTTGGGCTTCTCACTATACGTGTCAGCCCTACCTAATCCACCACACAACGAGACATCGTTCGAACCTCTACCTTGATGATTTGATAGGAGTGTTGATAACCTTCTGGATATCAGGTTGCCTCCGCACTTTGCACACTTTCAGTGCAAGCACAGTCAAGGTTTTATGGTGGCTTATGTGAGCGTGGACGAGATGTCTCAATGTGAGCTTCTCATCAGTTCGAACGATTCATTTACGGCTGTACTTTCACATAAATAAAGATCCTTAAAGAATCCGGGCGTTCATCCACAACTGCTATGACATTTGCTATGGGAACTACTTCTGATCTTGTGTGGGTTTTGCAGTGATCTGTCAAGTAAAACCCACATGTAATAATGCCCATTATACAGCTTTTATGGGTGAATGTTGTGACGTACATATGCTTTTGGGTCATCGGCGTCAGTGTTGAGATTGACAAGGTTGAAATTCTCATTTGAAGCCGTGACGGAACCGACGAGGAGCGATAAATACAGTGGTACGCGGCATGAAAAAAACGCCAACCAGACGCTAGCGACCTTCAGCAGCCTACTGCTGAGAATACGCTGACAAAAACGACAGTGTCGAACACGTTCATA